GAATGGATATCCCCTTGAATATCCCCTTGTTGCCTCAAAATAACCTATACATATTTATAGCTCGCCTATATACACAGTATATCTTTAACAGCAAATTAACTTCATATCGTAATCCAATATATAGCTTAAATAGATCGTATAGCAATATAGTGACAATTGAGAACATTCGCTCAAAAAGTAACGAGTTTTTGTTGGCTTCATAAAACGAGCCCATTAATCCAAAAACTGTGATATATCACGCTTTACATAACATATATTATCAAAATATTGATTGGGAACTCACTAAGTACAATCGGAATCCTCAGCCTGAAGGAGTTTATACCATGCTTTCCTTAACTTTATTTAGTATATTGTTTTTGCACTATAATATTTGTCATGCAATTTCGGTGCTTTTGGAACCAAATTTCCTTAAGTTGTGCCAAATGCCATTAATGGCATTTGGCACAACGTAAACAAATTTGGTTCTAAAAGGATCCAAATTTACAAATATTAGCGTAATAACACCGCCAGATGAAGTTCTTAAAGGCAACAGTAAGATCCCACTGATCCCACCCAGATTCATCATAAATTATTCCATGGCATTTGGCACAATAAAACTAAATAACATATATAATTGTTTGTATTGCTACCTCAATCTTACTAAATTGTTGCCACAGAAAGAAAACAGTAGTAGCTATAATCCAAACAATGGCAAATTAAAACTTGCTTTGCCTAAAAAAACTGGTTAATTAAGGACCTATTAAAATCCTCATTGGCATTTGGCACAACAGAATCAAACTTAGTTCAAATGGCATTTGGCACAATTGGACTAACTAACCGATCATTATTTGTTTTTTAATCTCAGTATTGCCAAGCGTGCGTCAAGCTACAGGATACGCGGTATTCATGTTCTAAAGAGCACATGTTTATACACAAACAAATTTGGTTTGAAATGAATCGAAATAGACAAGTATTTGATGCAACAATCAAACTACACCACTTGGGAAATGCCTTGGCCCCCTTTTGGAGAGATCCAATCGACTTATGCATGCAAGTAGTCAAAAGACTCCACCTCGATTTGTATCCATTATTTACCCCATTTGGAGTCAATACTGGACGAGTTAAGATAATATTAATAGAAACGTATGGTTTTATTTATCAGTCAAATCCAGCAATGCCCATCCCCCCGGGCCATCCACAGGCCTTCGCAGTTTTCCTAATCCCGGGGGTGGGGCTATTGCCCGAAATTTTTCAGCCCGGGGGTGGGGACTTACGCCTGTATTCTAAAAGCTCACTCACACTTACACTCGATGAGTGGAGGTTCAATTGGAGCTTTTCTCAAGTGTCATTTCTGTTTTTGAATAGCTGGAGGGTTAGTGCCATCCCGTACCATGTGATTACTCACCCTCCAGCTATTCAAAAACAGCATTGACACTCAAGGGAAGGCTCAGATTTAACCTTCACTCATTCGGTGTGAATGTGAGTGAGCTTTTAGAATACGGGCGTTAGACATTTAACATTTTCCATCATGGCGATTAGCGGACTGTATCACATGGCAGATTTCACTGGAAAAGATACGAATTCGTTTGCAAATGGCTTGATACTCATTCTTTGGGATGGTTTTTCGGTACCGGCATTGTCTTCAACGGACAATGATCACTATAAAAAATTCTTCAACGGACAATGATCACTATAAAAAATGATCTATGATTGCACCAGACCCGGACGCGAGTCGAAAACGCGACACGATTTTTTAGTTTTCGAAAGTTAACAAGACGCCTGCTCAGGCGTTCACACTGACCTGAAAATGAAGACATACATGATATGGTGCAATACACAGAAAATGTTGAAAGCGTGGCGTGATCCTGAGGAGATATTTTCGTAATGTCCAATGAAACACAAGTATTACTCACAAATACAAACGTTATCCATAAATGCACATGGTCTCTGACCATACGATGCGCTATAAACGCAGACAACATTGTTAAAGTTTACATTATGTGAGTCTGTATTAACCGATATTTTTACGGTATAAAATTCGAGAACCTTGGCAATCCAGATATCGCATTTCCAGAGAGGTTGCACCAAAAAAAAAACATGAAGTAAATCTCCAAGAAAGTGAAGAGTGAAAGAAATCCAAAATCCATACGAAAATGCGGTAAAATTCATTGACAAACGAAGAAATAGTTTGAGACTGAAATAGTCACTCATTAAATGGCCGCCATCTTGAAAATTGATCTGTATAGTAAACTGGAACGACTGGCACACTGGAAACTGAGCCTGCGATGCACTGATGGAAACTCCATTTCTCGACGACGAAAACTACAAACCCCACAGAAAACTGGTGATTTATGACACTTAACCTTTCAGGTCAGTGTAATAAAACAGTCAATGAGAGCAAATTTTAAAAGATATGTAGACCAAATAACTCAAAATGCTATAATGCTTCTACATATTTAGAAAGCTTAAATTAGGATCAAAGGTTATATCGGTCAGTTAATTAAAATCAAAAAATCGCGTTGCGTTGCCGAACTCGCGTCCGAACCTTTAAGTAAAGACAATATTTTCAAAGGTTGATATTAATATTATCATAGGTCTAGCTAGATGCGCTGAAGTTAGGGTTGAGAATTTATACAATGTTGCATTAAATAAAAGCATTTTTATCCTTGTTGTAGAAATTTATTTTTGTACTTTGCATTTATATTCAATTCTAACGTGCATGCATGCAAATCAACGTGTACTAAACAGTTAATATTATTGCCCGGGGGTGGGGATATAGACCCAATTTGTTTGCCCAGGGGTAGGGCTTTAGCACAGTTCTTCTTTCCCTGGGGTGGGGACATAGCCATTTTCTTTCCAGAAATGGCAAATTCCCCGGGGGTGGCCCAGAGGAGGGGATGGGCACCGCTGGAATTGACTGATACATTACTTGCAGTGTTGTGCTAACTGCGTCACAGAGTACATGAAAATTATAATAGCGAGGAATTTTACGAAAGTATTTTTAGTCTTTCAGCTAATATAGCTCAACCATTATATCTTGGAATGGCGAAAGCAACATATTTAGCTCGCCTATAATCTATATATCACAGTATTTATCTCTAACCAAGGGCGGATTTTCATTTTTTTTAAAGGAGGGGTAGAAAAATTTCTGGTGGGGTGCAAGCTTCGGCAGGGTTTAGGTGTTAAGGTTAAAGACTTTCACACTAAATAGGATGGGTGAAGCAACATTTTGGTGGGGTTGAACACTTTATAAGAGGGGCTAGAGAGATTCTAGGAGGGGTTTAACCCCCCCTAACCCTCCCCCAGTAAATCCGCCCATGACTCTAACAACAAACTTCATAGAATGAAAACAGTAATATAATCCATATAGCTTATTAAATAGATCATACAGAATTCTAGTGGCAATTGAGATCATTTTCTTAGAAAGTAAGTCATTTTTGTTGGCTTCATAAAACGAGAACATTTAATGAATAACTAGTGATATATCAGGTTTTATATAAAATATATCATCATAATCTTGCTTGGGAACTCACTATACTATCCTTAAGGGTTTCTAAGTGGAAAATGTTTATACATTCCACAGAAAGCCTGATTTGTTACTTGTTTTTTGCATTATAAGTGCTTCAATTGCATTGAATCACAAAATAATAATTAACTATACGGCAATGCTCACCCACTATAAAATACACAGTTTGGAAATACAAGATTTTGGTAATGCCAGCTACGTTGGAACTAAATAACGAAGAACGTATTGAAGAACGAATTGTTTCATGGGAATATTAACATGATTTTTTGTGTAATTGAGGGCAAACTCCAAAGAGATCACCCAGTGCAAAAATTAAAGTTACGATGGAGGAAAATGACTTCATCAATTAGTAGTCCAGACGATGAAAGACTATATTGCATGTCATAATTATATTGATATGAGTCAAGTGGGCTTATATATACTTGAAAATTTCTCCCAATTGTTAGGGTACACGCGCATCGCGCTAAATAAATTTCGCCGCTTTTTCACCATGAAAGACCTATTAAACATATATTAACAAGAAATGTGCAGGGCAATGAGATTGACTATTTGCCCCAATAAAAACAGAATGCCATTGACTGGCTAGGAAAATGGCGGCCAACATGCGTTATGCGACATGCGCGAGGGCAGAAACTTCATAAAGCTTCCGGTAAAGTGGCCCTTGATGTATGAATCTTTATTCTTTAATAATCAAGCTGTCAAAAACATCATGGTTTAGGTTCATTGGCATTTTATATTTTTGTCATTATCAACCTTGTATGAAGAATGCTGTATAACTGCATGAGAGGATGATGACTTTGTATGTGAAATCATATATATATTATCGAATTACACAATTGTTTATTTGTAAGTTTATTTAATTCGTCCAAAATAGCTAATTACATTAATTTTCAATTATAATTACACTACAGGGCTATGAGACTACTAGGAACCTCTGCAGTCGTTTCATTTTAGTCCCCAACTTACATTAATAGGTTATACAATAAAGTTTTTGACAGTTCGAAACTTAAAACAAAACAAATTATGAATATATAGTAATATATATATATATATACACGTATATATATACACGTATATATATATACATATTATATACATATTATATACATATTATATACATATTATATACATATTATATACATATTATAGATATATTATAGATATATTATAGATATATTATAGATATATTATAGATATATTATAGATATATTATAGATATATTATACATATATTATACATATATTATACATATATTATCCATCCATCCATCCATCCATCCATCCATCCATCCATCCATCCATCCATCAATACCTGCCGGCAAGCACTTGTGGGGACTTTGATACACATTACCTTATGGGGACCTGTGTAATAAAAAATTACAAACAGCATTGTGAGGACCTGATAGTGTCAACATTGTGGGGACATCAGATTTACAGTGTAAACATTGTGGGGACCTTAGTTAAAAATGTCAACATTGTGGGGACTTATTTCTCGTTTCAGGTATATCAAGCACCGACCTAGTTAAATAAAGTACAACTTCACTTTTACTCGTTAGGAACAGTCAACAATCGTCTACCTGTCGAAAAAAAGTGTATCTGCATTTTTCACCTATTTTAACATTAAACCAATATGGATCTAATACAAAATTATGAAGTTTGAGGTACAGTAGATATCACATCTTTACTATTTCTACTTTTCAATTTCAAGGCATTTGGTTCCATATATGTAAAGGTTAAAGGTTAAAAACCAAGAATGCGAGATATAAGTTAGATATAGCCCCGAGGAACCTTCAGCTCCGAGGGACAATATCTGACTTAGTATCCTAATTTCGAGGTTTTTAACTGAGTGAGAATCTAGCTGGGGAGGTTTCAAACAAGATTTTATCGACTTTCAGTCGAGATTTTTCGACTTTACTCCACAAATTTAATCTAATGATACCATGGTTGCTTGAATTTCTTTAGTCTTTACAGGCTGAATTAAGTAAGAGTTATATACCGAGAAAGCGGGATATAAGTGATACATTGACCCAAGAAGCCGAAGGCCCCGAGGGCCAATATATCACTTACATCCCCATGCAGTTAGAGGTATTTAACTTACTTATATATGATAACTAAATAGATAACAAAACTGATATAATATATATAACTAATACAGCTAGTATGACATTATGTTAGGTGTATTAAAACTAATACAACTCCGCTTAAAGAAATTTTGGCAACCATATATATCACAAAGTAATATCGTGCAATTCGGTGTATTAGCTGTTAAACCGTCTGCTTGATCGGGTCATTTAGTAAACTTCTCTCGGGCCTGCCCCCCTTGGCAATTTCACTAAACGATCCGAAACGAGCAGGCGATACACCTCATTTCATGAATTTACTCATGATTATTAATTACAGGTCTATAACCGTACATCAATAAATGTATAAATTAAGGAAAACTGCCTCAATTTTTAAAGTCGCTTTATGAGACAATTCAAAGACCATTATAGTCCACCTTATACTTACATCATATACATATTCCCATGGAGCGGTATATATAATATAATTTTTCATTGTTTTCAATATAGTTTTGAATATCCTACAATGGAAGAAAGAGATCTGCAGTGAACACAATATATATTATATAATAAGTAAAATTAATTACTAGACTAAATTTTTTGTCATAACTAAAATGTGGTTTAGTTTGTAAAAGTGAATGTAATATAATTTCAAGACTTTCGTACAGAAGGTAAATACTTAGTACAATTGCACTAACGTTTAGATGCAGAGTATGATGCAGCCGACAAAAGCGCCAATATGCTATAAATAACCCGTAATTCCACCTTAATTAATTATAAACTCGGTGTTTCTCCCCATTGAACTAACGTTATGGGCAATTAAGTCCTCACGATGTACAAATTCCTGTACAAGTCCCCAGAATGTTGGGTACATTTTTTACACAATTATACACTCAGCCTGTATAATGCCATTGTGGGAACTTGCACACGCGAATTTTGACATTGTGTGGACTTGCACAAGAATTTTGACGTTATGAGGGCTTGAAGTCCCCACAATGTAAAAATATTTACACAGGTCCCCAGAACGTTTAGTACGTTTTTTTTACACAGTAATACACTGAAAATAATTCCCTACATCGTGGGGACTTGCACAAGAATTTTGACGTTATGAGGGCTTGAAGTCCCCACAATGTAAAAATATTTACACAGGTCCCCAGAACGTTTAGTACTTTTTTTTTACACAGTAATACACTGAAAAGAATTCTTACATTGTGGGGACTTGCACAAGAATTTCGACATTATGAGGACATGAAGTCCACACAATGTAAAAATATTTACACAGGTCCCCAGAAGGTTTGGTACGTTTTTCGTGTCACAGTTACTAGACTGAACCCAGTCCCTCTTGTGAAAGACGTGCGGGAAAGTGAGGGACTGTGGACAGGTCTAACGAATTTGAATTTCCCGTGTCGAGAGACACGGAAAATTCCATTGGCTGAATAGCTTGATTGACATGCAGTATCAATTACGTAAATGAATAATTAATTCGAATGCGTGTTACAGTAAACAAACAATTTCAAAGCGAATTATTCGATCAAGATGGATTTCAATACTATCTTGAACGAATGTGTTAATTATTTCTCCATTGAAAAGCGTTGTGGAAGACCAAATTAAGGAACTCAGCAAATTTGGGTTGTCTGCCATTGCCTTGACGCATGTTTTGGATGAAAGGACAAAACATGATATTTATAATATAAACGCGAACACGTCTATTATAATTGGATCAGCTGAAGAGTTCTTGAACGAAGAATTCATTAATATCTTGAAAGATCGTAACTCTCGTTATATCAACGCCTTTCCCTGGTAGTTGTTGACGAATGCCACACTGTGGACACTTGGTGAGAATGTGGCTACTTTCATTATAGTATACTGAACACACATTAGTTTCAAAAATATTAAATTACTTTGTCCACATATAGTAAATCATCACCAGCTAAAGTTCTTAAAGTTCTAAACCCGAAACCTGTAGGCAGAATACAGACGACGTCTTTCCCTGCGATAAAGAAACGATCGCCAATCTTTGCTGGTCTTTAAGACGATCGATAAAAGGCAAACTTTTAACACATTCGTTCAAGATAGTATTGAAATCCATCTTGAATAATTGTATCACGCTTTGAAATTGTTTGTTTACCGTAACACGCATTTGAATTAATTATTCAAGTTATTCAGCCAATGGGAATTTTGCGTGTCTCTCGACACGGGAAATTCAAATTCGTTAGATCTGTCCACAGTCCCTCCCTCACTTTCCTGTGCGTCTTTCACACACGGGTTCAGTCTACACAGTTACATACACACAACCGGTAAAATGCCGTTGTGTGGACGACCTCAAGGGACCTATATATGCAATCCTATCGTATTTACAACTACTTAATAATAAATCTGAATATTGGAAAGTTTACTTTTAAAAAGCTGTATTGAAGCCTTCGATTGAAGCCCGATTTCTTATTTCATCTGGAAGGTCATTCCATAAAACAGCCCCACGGTAGCTGACATTATCGTCTGGGGGTGAAATTATTATGCAAACTACCTCTAAGATTATGAGTGTGGACTTGCGAGGTAGGTTCAAAAATAGTATTAAGCTCGTTCGGATATAAGTTATTCACTGATTTATAAACACTAGTTGCGAGCTGTCTGGCTCGCTGGTGGTCAAGTATATCCCAACCAAGGTCATATCGTATATCAGCTGATATTACATCATAATCAGAAAAGGTTATTATCCTAGCTGCTCTGGTTTGAAGTTGTTGGAGTTTGTCAGAAAGAGTTTTACCTAGGCAACCCCATGCCTCACTACAATATTCTACGTAAGGTAACACTAAGGCTTTATAATCACAATCAAAGTGAATTTGGGCACAAAATTGCGAATCTCACTTGGCTTGAAATTATTAAGAATCTTTTTTATATTTAGAGTAAGCTTATTAGCCCTTAGCTACGTTTGCACTATCCTAAGTTCACTGTTTAATTTATGCTCTAGGTCCTTTGGATCATTAGAACTAACAGTTAAACATGTATTATCAGCATACATCATAAGAGACGACTCAGACGATGAAGATAAACAGGCTTGAAGATCATTAATAATTAAAAACAGTGGGGGTCCAAGCACCGAGCCCTAAGGAACCCTACAAGTAGCAGGCAACAAACTTGACAATGTGCCATTAATGCTTGTGCATTGTTTCCGGTCTGTTAGATATGATCTAAACCAATTGATAGAGTTAGGATCAATGCCATACAGCTTAAGCTTTCTTAATAAAGTTGGGTGGTTGACAGTATCAAAGGCTTTTTTAGGTCTAATAGTAGAACTCCATTAATTAATCCTTTATCAATATTTTGGTACCAGTTATTGGTGGATATTAGAAGAGTCGTAAGTGTTGAATGTACTGGTCTAAATCCATGTTGGGAATTAGCCAATAAATTATTACCAATTAATAGGTATCCATAAAACTGGGAGAACACTATCTTCTCAATTAGTTTACTGACAATCGGTAAGATAGATATTGGTCTATAATTATTAGGATCTGATTTTGTGTCTTCTTTATATATTGGCATAATCACCCTAGCTATTTTCCAATCATTGGGAAATACCCCACTATAATTCTTATGGATAAGTTTATAATATGAGTTAAGGATGAAGATATAATTGGGGATTAAGCTTCCTTTAATAGCCTATATAATATCTCATCCAAACCAGTACTTAGATGTATAATTGCTATTCTTTTCAATCGGTCCTTCTCAAACATTAATTTCTTAAGTTCTGGGGTTAACCAAGGAGAGTGCCCATTTCGAAATTTCCTACTTTGTTTGGGTGCATGAATATCAGTGATTTTCAAGAATATACCTGTAGTTTTCCAAGCATCCCAAGCAAGATTTAGATCATTCTCATACCCCTCAATGATGTACAGTACCAATGGGCTAAACTGAGATTATATCTAAATGAGTTAGCATTGAAATCTCTAAATTGTCTGCTGTGAATTATTCTAGGCTCCTTTCTGGGAACACAAATTTTACGAATTGCATATACAGTACAAGTGAATGGTCACTAATGCCAATGTGGCAAACTCCAGATTTAACATATGTTGTTGAAGAGCGTTCAGTTATCCGAGTAGGCTCTTCAACAAGTTGATGATATTGATACAAGTTACAAATGCTTGGTGGGTGCATTAAAGGGAGAAGCACTAACATCACAGTTAAAATCACCTATAATATTAATTTCAGTGTCCAATGTTTCTAATTACTTCTTAATTAATAATTCAAAGTTATTCATAATATCAGTAGTTGAAGAAGGGGGTCTGTACCAAGGACCAACAATAAATGGTTTGGACTTAGGTTTCTGTATTTTGATATATAGCCACTCAAGTGGATCCTGAGCCAACTCATGCATCAGTTCATAATTAATAATTTACATCTCTTATATCACTTATACAACACCCCCCCCCTCATTTCTATTCCTATCCCTTCTTTCTAGATTGTACCCTGGTATAGATACTAAATTGTTGGAAAAAGATTGATCTAAGCAGGTTTCATTTAGTGCAAGAATGTCTAAACACCCGCAGCACATATATGTCTTTAATTCTTTAATTTAATTTAAATGTAGTAAGCAATCAGATTGTGCATTGACAGGGCTATGTTAGCGTTTATAAATTTCCGCACCTAGAAATTAGGGAACAAAGCACTATAGGTGGTTTGCAATTGGCCGCCATCTTGGTTGACATTGCAAAACATGTGCACAACAGCATAAGAATTTGACACAGATACATTTAACATGTCAATAATATGTTAGTCATGATAAGCAGTTCCAAAATGCACCAACAAATGGAAAATTAACTAAGTTTATGTTCTGTAATGGCTCAATATAAACTTCGTAGTGTCAACCAAGATGGCGCCCAAGACAACATAATAGGCATGAACGAGAACGCATTTAAAACAAGCGTTGAAAACGGCTCTGTCTTTGAGTCTTTATTCTTTGTCACTATGAAGTTTATTTTGAGCTATTACAGAACTTACATAAACTCAGTTAATTTTCCATTTGTTGGTGCATTTTGGAACTGCTTATCATGACTAACGTATTATTGACATTTGTCTGACTGTGTCAAATTCTTGTGCTGTTGTGCACATGTTTTGCAATGTCATTAACCAAGATGGCGGCCAATTGCAAACCAACTATACATGCATGTTTCGGCATTCTACGACTCATCAATACAGCTCAGTACAGATACATAAAATACACTTTGTCACCATTTTTGTATACAGCTAATTCAATTAAGGTTGTCCCGTGAAGGTCAAAACTACAAAATCTCATCTTGAAGCATGAATAGCTTGCTGGGAGCCTGAACAGCTATTATTTCAGTGCTCATATACGTCGCCTCTGAAAATCTTCATCATAATCTTGTTGTTTTAACTACCTACTAGAGTTTTGAGCTTTGACCTGAGAGGACAAGCCTAGTTGAATTACAGTAGCTGCAACTTCCACTGCCAATAAGCCTGAACCAAGATGAACAATAAAATCAACAATACAGTAAGTACAAAATTCTCTTACCAGTATAATTGCTGCTTCTCCCAGTATGTCAAGACAATTCTTAACACATATATACAGTATAGTATCTTTTATGTTTGAACATTATTTCTGTTGATTTAGTCTAGAATTATATGTAAAAATTTACTTTAGAATTCAATGTAAAAATAGTTTACGTCTTCTTTAATTTTTATAAATAATTAGTGTCCGATCATGTCCGGCCAAAATGCGAGTTGGTCTGCCACAAGGTCAGAGCAAGTTTTCAGATTTATATTGAACTCTGTGATCATTCCTGATGATGACTAAAATATAGTCAAAAGCTCAAATTGCATTTCCAGTATGTAACCCATTGAGAGGCCACATTCTGATCCCCCCCCCCTCCCCCCAATGACAAGTAGAATCGTCTACACAGCAATACACAAAGAAAAATAATAAACTAGGGCATATTGCCACTTAAAGGGTTAAAAAACACTGACTGGATTAATACAAATTGAATTTTCAAGAACCCTTGAAAATATACACTTGGCTTCTCATTCACTTTCTCACAGCTGGTAGTTTCTTGAAAGGTGTGAAATGTCATTTAATAGCGTCTAGCTCAAACTTGCAATTTGCTTAATTCAAAGATACTGTCAGACTGTGGCATAGCCAGCGTCAATAATTGGAGGGGCGAATATTCATATATTCGTGTTCACAGACCTTAAAAACAATCGATTTCAAAAGAAATTAATAGTGCAGAACACGATATGTGAATAGGGACCATTCATTATTTATGGAAGGGGGTGGGCTGGTAAAAATAAAGGGGGGGTCACCCAAAATTCTAGGCAGTTTGAGGGGGGTCATGGAAAATATGCCAATAGGTGTGTGAGGGGGTCATGCACCTGCAATTTAATAATTGGTTCAGTGTAAAGATCAATATTAATTTTATAATTAAAATATTAATACCAAATAACAGTCACAATGTCAAGACAGCAATGTCCCAACAATCCGGCTCATTACTTGCTCAGTTCCAGCAGACCATACAGCAGGCACGAAATTTGGCATTGGGGGGGGGGTTATTGAGCTTTTTGTTTTTATAACAAGGGGGTCAAGAGTTTTCTATTTGGTTTATGAAAGATATTACCAACCCACCCCCTGCCATAAATACTATTTGGTTTATGATAGATATTACCAACCCACCCCCTGCCATAAATAATGAATGGTCCCTTATGATCGACACTGGCTATACGCCACTGGATAGTATAAAACTTCCATCAAGTCTGTACCAAAGAGTAAGGATTATTGAAGAAAACTTACCCAGCAACACAAGTACAATAGCACTGACAATCTTTCAAAGTGATCAGCCATAAGAACTAAAGCGATGTCAATCAGAAATATTGGCCATTAAGGCCAAGACGTTGTATACGTACTGATCACGACGCCGACGACGGGTCTCGCAACTTTCCTTCAAGTTTGCAGAAGCTAGCGTCTTGATGTTTGAGTTTCGCTGACTTTTTCCACTGCTGTTGATTCAATTGGAATACCTAAGTAAAACCGTTTTAAGTTCCTTTCTCTGCAAAAATCTTTCAAATCTTTGAAGCATCATTTGTTTG